TGAGTAACTGTTTTTGCATCTAGCAAAACTGAACAGTGCAGCTCATGCAGAGAGGAGTATGTTTATTTTGTTAATTGATTTGGTATAGTATGTCTATCTTTAAAAAGCATTTACCTGAGATAAGTGTCAAATATGGAGAAAAACTTGATAAGGCTTTATGAAAACATTGCTAATCTTGAACGATTTTGTGAAATTAGCAATTTTACTAGAAGTATTTAATTATGTATTCTTTTTTCATGATGATTTTGATCGAGGACCTGTCCATGAAGCCTCACAACCGTGATGGCAATGAAGCCATCTTTCTTCCTTGTGCATTTAAGGTTCTATGCTTGAGACCTCCCTAAATGCTCATGTTTAAAAGAGAGAGAAGACTGAAATTTTTTTGGCATATTGTTCACAATTTATTGTAGGATATATGTAGTAGATTTGAATTAGTAATGGTAATCTCAAGGTCAAAGATGGAATAGTAAGGCAAGTGAAGTAGGACACTCAAGGGTCTAGGGAAAGCCCGTATAGTTTCGGATGGAAATTCCATTGTCTTTGAGGTCGAAAATTCCATCCGTTCATAATCCATCAAAAAATTCACTGGAAACCCTTATTTTTTCCCATAGTGAGGGTGATGGTGATGAAGGAAGTTGGAGCTGGTGGCGTTGTAGAGCTGGTGGAGGAGGTGTAGAAAGTAGGGCATCCTCAATGTTGATCTTGCACAGTAAACAAAGTAAGCGGAGAAGATGGAGGGAGGGTAGTGGCTGTTTGATTTGATAGTGATGGAGACGACACAAGCAAAAGGAGAGTTGGGAAGCTTCACGATTATATGGAAGGCTGTGTCCTTGATTTTTTTTCCCTGATTTTGGAAGTCTGTCGCATACATTTTTTGGCTTAAGTTCAATGGCTCGACTGACACTTGTGGTCATCTTAATCTTGACTTTATTTACTAGATGTGCGCTTTCTTGGTGGTTCAAGCCTAGGCTAATCTAGCTCAGTACTGCACGAATTGGTCTGTGATTGAGTTAGCTTAGTGCTGCACGAAGACAAGCTAGGTTAGTTTTTGAAACTAATTCAGCTTAGGTTTTGGCGTATCATGCAGGAAGAAAAGAAGGAATATGGAGATGAGATGCTTGGAATAGTGGGCCAATTGGGCCAGTAGGCCTTTATTATAGTAAGTTGTAACCAATGAGATTGAATCAATTAGTTGGTAGGGTGGTAGTACTTAGAAGCAACAAAGAAACTTTCTTCCCTGCAATAGTTCTCCTCATAGCTAGGGCTTCAATATGTGTTAGTCTATCAAATTTTGAGGTACCATTTCGAGGGGCCTCCACAGTAGTGGCAACTTTGACAAGCCTTCTTTTATGTGCAGATAAATAGGCATGATGTGTTGGTACGTCAACAGATTGAGGCCTCCTAACATCGTTTTGAACTGGTACAGTGGCAATCATGGTAGTAGTAGTAGGAATTTCTAAACCATGGACTGGATATAAACTTCAGTTTTTCCAATATTGATAATTGCATCAGTTCAGCGGATGTTAGCTCCACGTCCTAACCATACAATGAATGTGGTATATTGTAAGTTCATTTTATATGAGTAAAGGATTGAGATCAGTAATCAAAATCTTGTTAAATTGCACCGATCTTTCAAAATGCAGAAATAGAATAGAATAGAATATTTGAATAAATGATCAGGTTCCATGCAATAGTTATGACAATTTAGAACCATACTAAAAAAATCAATGCTTATAAGGATTGTATTTTGAGGTTTTTCGTTACTAAAAGGGATCAAAGATTTTAAGTCAGCAGCTAAAGAGAATAAGAAGTTTGCCTTTTCATTTTGTTTTAATTTAACTATTGGTATGGTGTATATGCCTAGTTAATAATGGAAATAGAAATCTTTCTATATAAGTTGTCAGAAATATGTGATTACCAAAAAAATTGCGCTTAGCTCTTTTATGAGAGTTGTGTTTCAAGTCAAAATTTTAGAAGCCATGTTTGATATTGATAAAACACTATTTGTAGATTTCTCCCTAATTTTACATGTACTTTATGATCTTGTTTGAGGTTTCTTATAGGTATAAGTTTTTACGATTAATTACCTTTCACAGTCATAATAGAGAATATTTGATTAATGGTACTTGATAGGCTATAAATATAAGATTATAACACCAGTGATTCGGTTTAGGACAAACAAATTATCATCATTAGCATAGAGCTGATAGTCAGGGGAATAATGACAAACTCGATTAAAAACTCATGATTTCATTGTCCTAAGTTATTGTGGACTCTTGTTTACATAGTCAGTGACTCAGTGTAGGTAGTTGACTCAACCAAACAAAAATATCCTTATTAGCAACCATAAGTTGCATGGTCCAATGAGACTATATAGACCCGGGGTGGATAATTATCTATGGTGCTAGTTTTAAGTTGACCTTAGCTACAAAGAGCTTTGTGCTCTGTTAAGTACACTTTATGATTCACAACTCAAGGTGTTGAGCGATAAGAAAACTTTTAAGCTATGGCCATAACCATAATTTAATTATGCAATTTTATTGCGGATTACCATTTTAGTCGTCTTTGATCGTAACTGGAATTTATTGTCTTTATTTTACATTAAACCACCTGGTTAGAGGACATATATCACATCCTTACTGACATGAGATTCATGAAGTTTTTTGATTAGAAACTTGTGAGGCATTTTGACATTATTATCTCATTTTGTTTAGATTTTCTTTTAACATGGCTATTATCAGGGATGGATGTTTGAAGCATTTATACTTGCAACTTGAGAATTTGATTTTTAGAGATACTTTATCTCGTTATAATGTACAATAAAAATGCCCATCCCGTGTGGTTGAATGAACAAAATTGGTTGTTTTGAATCTTGTTGACTTTGCTTATTTGCTTATAGAGCATCAGGTTTATGGCTTTGCATATCATTTTTTTTCCTTTGGACATTCTTTGCCTTACATGCCTCGCAACTTTACTCTTGTATATAAATGATCGGATCCATAAGCTAGAACTTGTATTTATACCTTGTAGGCACGTCATTGATGCAAACATAAAATAATATACTTTAGCGATTTTCATGTTTGAGTATACGATCTCCATTGTGCATTGCTTAGAACATGAGTAGAAAATTTAAAATCATTGTTTGAATGTGATTATGTTAGATGTATTGTGCAAATTTTTGTCATGAGGTTTAGGTCTTATCAACTTAAGTCTTTGAGATGTGTAGGATCGAACTTAGCAAAAATGGGACGTATGCCCTGCCTGATAGGCAAGGCGATTTGCTTGAAAGCATGCATGCAACATATCAATGATTTTGGATTTGAAAAGATTTTTTATGTTTTAAAATGAATGTTTGCTTTTCAAAATGGTTGTGAGATTCTCAAAGCAAAGCATTATGTAAATTTGTCTTATTTTTTAGTTCACACTTTATTTTTTGATTTTAGATTTAAGCATTGACATGTTAATTAAAGCACATGCGCTTTGCTTTCAAATGTTTGAACAAGTTTAGAAGACATGCTATTTGGTATGCTGGTATGATTTTTGAGGCAGTGTAATTGAGTTGAAAATTATCTTGTAATGTGTGCAGGAGACTTAAGTTCCCTAGATTCAATTATTTTTGTGTATTTGTTATATTGTAATGTGCACGTCACTGTCTTTTTGGAGATCATTATTCGCTTTATGTCTCCTTGCATTTCCTTTGTTGATTTGGTTGCGATTGTTTCGAGTTAGAATCAGTTGTGCGTTTAAGAGAGGGAGGGAGGGAGGGAGGGAGGGTGGAGGGAGGATTGAAGGCTAAAGGATGGTGGTTATGCCAATGATGGAGGCTGTTGGTGTTGGGGAAGGAGATGCATGGAATACTGAAATTGTCGTGGTTGAGAAGTTTTTTAATTTTAAATGAGGGACATCCAGATGGAATTTCATGCTATATGATTATGGGAGTGAGACATGCAAGATTTGTGTGGGATTTAGGGCAATCATTATGATTTTTTGTGTGCATGTATTTTAGCAAATTATATATGTATAACAAAGTTTGATTACATATATAAAATCTAATTAAATATTACTAATTGTAATAAAATTATATTTAATTATAATTATTACTTTCTTATTTTATTTAATTAACTCATTAAGATTTTTATAATAACATGTGTATTGACTCCTTGTATGTTTTCATCACTCGCACTTGCTCATATCTAATTTTAGTCCTCATCTCATGCTCAAGTAAAATTCATCAACTTTTCTTTGGGGTCCTTTTTGGGTATTTTGATGTTTCAGGCGTGTCGTGCAATCTATTTTAGGAAATAGGAAATGGTGGAGTCTGTTTTATGGTAGGCAAGACATCTTGAGGCTATTCTTTGCAATGTCGCATTTGTTTTCCATCATGGCTGTCGCACTTGATTTGGTTAAATTTGTGGAATGAATATAGAGGTCAACAGAGAAATACAAATCTTCAATTCATTAGACATTTTTGATATGATGATCAGACAAGCACCATGTTATGCAAGAAGGAAGACGCCTTTTGAGTAGTTGCAAATTCCAAGACAAAGGAGAGAGAGAGGAGAGAAAATAGAAATTTATTATTCTATAGAGTTTACAGCAATATGAGAACTATTTATCGACAAAATAGTGACCCAAATCTATTGGGTCATTTATTAGACCTGCTGGGCAAAACTGTAAATAAAAGAAAAGTCTATGAAACATTATTTTTGAATACATATATTGTTTGGCAGCTTGCTGTCTATATTTGTGGGGATGTGTTAGTGCCCTTCATTTTTCTTCCTCTTTGTTAATAAACTTTATTAATCGTTTTTCCTTCTTTTGATTGTTCTTCCAAGTATCTAACCCAATTTTTTCAATGTTCCTGCATCGCCTTTGTGTCCAATTGAATATGTTGTTGCTTAACACAGCCGGAAGGGATGTGCCAAACAAACATTTAGAACTATTGTTCATGGTCATTGTTGGGTAACCAATCATCATCATTTTGGAATTAAATAATCTCTTTTTGGCAGCCAGGATTGACAACTGATGAAATTGATAAAGCAGTTCACCAGATGATTATTAATAATGGGGCATATCCTTCACCTCTTGGTTATGGTGGTTTTCCTAAGAGTGTTTGTACATCTGTAAATGAATGCATTTGTCACGGGATTCCAGACTCACGAAAACTTGAGGTGCATCTAAAATTCTCTTTTTCTGCCATATCTTATTTTCTTTCATATCTACCATCTGTTTATTGACTCCATGCAATATGAATGGCAGGATGGGGATATCATCAATATCGATGTTACAGTTTACTTGAAGGTAAGTTTATAGTTTTTTCTGAATAATTTATGAGAATAACGAGCAATTAATGTCTTTAATGTAAAAAAAAATGTCTCCAAAGTGTCATGCGAATGGGCATTTGGAATTCCTTTATTTCTCTTAATATATACTTCGTAATTAGTCAAATGAAATGAGTAACATTGTTTTTGTGAAGAAAATTTGATCTTGAATGGATGTCGAAAATAATGGTGAACCAGACCTTCATGATGTTTGGTGGGACTAGCAAGATTAAAAGCCCAAAGGGAGAACACTAAAGAAAATAGAACACAACTCGATTCAAACCTTAGTAAGCAAAATCACCATATAACATTAAACAAACTTAAATTGTTTATAAGAAGATAGAAAACCAAAACAAACTATCCTCAGAACAACCAACTAGTGGTCACCTCACATGCATCGATAAAATATGTAAATGACTGCTCTAGGACATGCAAACCAGTGGCCCACCACAGCTACTTTGATCCAATCAAACGTCTGCCACAACTCCTCCAGCAAATCCCAACAAAGCGCTTGCCAACCAACACCTCTCTCAAATTTTTTAGAAGAAGGATACAATGGGGTGGAAACTTGTGGAGAGAAGAAAGGGATTAGGAGACTTGGAAGAAGCAACAAGCAGTGAAGAAGTAGCTCTCAAGCTAGAGAAGAAACTCTCAGGTTTTACTTAGTTTTTACTTTGCCAAAAAAACTTCTTAAAACAGCCCAAAACTCCCCTATAAATAAGATAGAAAAGGGAGGCCAACAACCAAGTTCAGCCGCCCACCACAGCCAACCAAAAAGGAGGAAAAAAGGAGCAATAAAGGCACGGCTGGACACTCACCCGAATAGCCACAACAAGGGGAACCGGGACAGCCAAGAGCAGGAACCGAACAACCAGCAAGGGGAACCGAGAAAGCAGGGAGCGGGAACCAAACAGCCAGCAAGGGGAACAAGGAAAGTAGGGAGCAGAAACTGAACAACCCAGCAAGTGAAATCCGGAAAGCAGGGAGCAAGAACCAAACAACCGAATGGCTAAGTAGCAGCTCAGCTGCCTACTAACAAACCCAAGTAGCCCAACCACAAAGACCCAAAGAAGCTAGCATCAAAGGAAAAAAAATGTCCAAGAGCACCAAAACCACACGTGTTCATCGGTTGCCTTCCATCATCGGGTAAATAAAGAAATAAAACTTAAAAAATATAATAGCATAAAAAAAATCATAAACATTTGAATGCATCAATGTTGCTTTGGGAGAAATTAGCTACGGTTGTGCTTGCTTAGGTAAGTTGCACGCAGCGATGGATATAAGATTTCATATCTTGTTCACTAAGTTGGGATGAAATATGATAAAAATTTATCACTACTGCACTGTTTTCACCAAGTGTTAAGAAAGGCGGTCCATTGGAGCGGTTTCAAATTGTGATGCTTGTACTCAATGTTATCTTTATTTTGTCTTGTTTTTTTTTTCCCTCTCAAAAGAATTTCCTTTGTTGTATTCATATCATTATCCAGTTATAAATTTGTCTTTAAAAAAAGAGGCTGAACTAGCCTTCCCATTTTCCAATTCATTTCTATTACTACTTGCAAGAATTCATATAACTTTTGAGGTTTCACTAACTCCACTACAAAGGCCTTAAGCCCTTGATCTACCATCGTGAGTGCTAAACAAACCTCTTGATATTGGATCACAAGATTAATATAACATTACCCGAATATATTCAAGCAATTTTAGTGAAATTCAAATAAATAATTATTCATTTATAGTATTTTAAGATCAAGTGATACTTAAGTTTGTTAGTTTAATTACCTTGTATCTATCATAAAAATTTTTAGGCGTATTTAACAACGACACTACTTTTAGGGTTAAAGCTGATGAGTTAAAATTGAGGTGCACCATGAGTATTATGCGATAGAAGAAGTGCCTTGTTCTGCTATATTTATTTGAATGTTGGGCAACAAGTAATTTTTAGCCAATTAGAGTGTCAGAATGAGAATTTTAAGATTATTGTTATCCTCATCATCTTCATTTGGGTATGGCTTTTTAATTCTCGTTCTCCATTAGTTCAACCTATTTTATGCAAATATTTGCACAAGCACAACTTCTATCGTTATTTTCTTTGACATACCCCTTCAGTCCTTCGTTTATATTATGATATCAACCATTGTATTTTTGCATCTTTGATTGCTTTTTTATATGCCCAAATTGTTTATATATATATATAAACAATCTTATCTTTAATAGATGTTCCTCTCATTTCCCTTTGATATAATCATTTATCTAGCTATTCTGACTAATTTTGACACACATTTATCTTAATGAGCTATTTTATTCTTTTAAAAAGGTCATTTTATTGTAAAACCTGGAAATGTAAGATTAAAAAATGAGTAAAGAGATGTGGGAGTAACACATGCAGAAATGTGAAAAGTAGAATTAGGTGTTTGAAAATTCATATTGGAGGTCAAAAGATACTCCAGTAAGGCAAGTTGTTATAATTAATATTGAAGGATTATAAGAAGAAAAGGGTAGATTAAAATGAACTTAGTTAGAAATTGTAAAAAGATTTATACGAAGTAAAATTAGCAACTCTTGTAGCATATGATCAAGTTAAATTTAGGATGATTTATAAAGTAGATCCCAAATGGTTTGGATAATGTTGATTATAAAATTTCTTCAAATAGGATAATGATAATGATAAAATTTATTTTTTGCTCTCTTTATCTTAACAAAATTCCTTTTAGTCTTCATGCATCCTCGATAAAATAGCTCAAGGTATTCTTCCTCTCCCTTTAGTTATTTATATTTTCCTTTTCTTACTTCTTAGCACTTAGGTTATTTAATAAATTATCAATAGTTATATTTTTGGATTTTTCTTACTACGAAGTCTCCTTATGTCGGATAGTTTCAATTTATTACCTTTGTTAAAGAACTTATCTTGAAATATTAATATTTAATATTTTGTCATATTTTAAGTTCCATCTCATTTTTATTCTCTCTTCTTTATACTACTAAATTTTGCATCCATTAATTTTTACTTTATGTTATATAGTCAACCCTTGTTCATGGAATCACTGTATACTTTTAGATTTTTTTTTTCTTGTATAAGTTTAACATATTTAACCCGCAACTTATGCATGAACGGTTTCTCATAATTCTAACCTTTTATTTGCTTCATAATAAGGATGCATTTTGATTCTAGGGCTATCATGGTGACACCTCAGCTACCTTCCTTTGCGGTGATGTTGATGATGAGGCTAAGAAATTGGTTCAGGTACAAAGCTTGACTTTCTATGCAACATTTTGTTTATTCCTGAGCTTTAGATTGTGATGGAATTGATAAGTATTGATATAGTGTTCTGGGCAATCTCGTCCTAAGATTTTGTTGCTTCCTTGTTCACCCTTCTCTGCCTTTCTACTCTTTTTCATGTTTTCGGTCTTGAAAAATTTCTTGTCAGTTAGCAAAGGATCTTTGAGCTTCATGCTTTGCTTTGCTCCTTTTTTTTTGAGGGCTTCATGCTTCTTTTTCCACAATAATTTCTTTGTCTAGACCTCATAGTGGGATTTTAAATTCTTAGTTTACGTTTCATTAGTCTGCTAAAGCATTTCTTGCCCTGAAAATGTTATAAGTGCCTTTCTAACAATTTATGTAAGGCATAAACATAATAAACATTGAAAATTTGAGGAAGTGAAATATGACATTATGCGGCAAGTTCCGGTAATATTACCTCTTATTAATGTATATGGATCTTTAATGTAATAGAAGGGCTTCAAAATTCCACTTTAGATGTTGAAAAGGATTGGTTAAGGATTAATAATTCTGGCAAACATCATCTGCATTTTTTAGGTTTTCATTTATTTCAAAATTATTTTGTGGTCTGCAACTGTTTGAGATATTTTCTTGTTATTGTCTTCCATATACTCAACTAACTTAATAGAATGTTAGAGTACTACTTATGAGTTAATTTATATTTAGAAAAATCTTAATGTTTGTTATGCTCATTTTAATTTTTCCCATAGTTGTAATTCAAGATGAAACTTTTGCAAACCCGGTCATATTGGTTTTGATAAGTATTATATATGTGAATAGTGGAAACTTCCAACTGTTTGGATGAGTATATGTTTTATTGAATATTGTTCGGAAGTTTGATGAGAAGGCAAATTTCTCTAATTCAATATACTTGACTAGCTTGAGCGAGAAAAAGGGTAATATTGAAAAGAAAAGGGTTTATATTGGTTCAACTTTGTTACTTGCCTCCAGTGCAAGAAGGGAGCTGAGTATAAATGCAGAAGGAATACAAAGTGAGTGTAAATGTTGAATAACAATCTGCTCTTATGTGTTAGATCTTTTGGTTTCTTGATCCTACAAATGGTCCTTATATAGTTTCTGCCAAAAACTTTAAATGTGCTATTATTATAACGCCAATTGAACTATCATGTAATTTAATGAACTTGCACTTTGTCTCAAAAGGAATTCAAGAAGAAAAAGATGAATAAGAACTCGAAGGGTTGTTTGCACATTGCATTTTTGTCGGTTATGATTCACAATGGTATCTAACATCCGAGAGTTTATGTCACAACCCGGTCCGAATACTCGATTTAATGAGGCGGGAACTGAAAGTCGGACGGTATTACAATTTCATCCCAATTTCAAAAATGATATTAACATAAACTTTTGAACAAATGAAGAGCCACTAAACACAAAGAAAACTCTAAATCAAACAATGTTAAAACGAATCATTTTCATTAAATATTTTACCCGTTGTCATTTGCTCGCCTTCTTCTGTAGACGAAATCTTCTCTTTCAGCCATTTCTTCTTCTTTGGGG